AAAAAAAAAGGAAAAATTTTTCGAAGTACATGAACTTCAGATAACCAAGCCAAAAGTGCCATAGCATAATTATGCTTTTGTTAGAGAAAAAAGCATACTTATTTTTCTTGCCATTTACGATTAGTATTTTTCTTTGTCTTGCCATTATCCTTCGATTGTATATTCAATAATTCACAATGAGTAGGAAAAAAAAAATTGGCAATCCAGTTCATATCATGGGTAATTTTATTCATGGATAATAAGTTGCAAAAAAGCTTAAAGATTAAGAGAACAAAGGTGAGCAAATGACATTGATAGTCCCAAGGCTAGTTACCTGGAATATTGACCCATCAACGATTATGATTATATATCCCTTAAACATAGATGAAGAGTTTCAAATAAGAAAGCATTCTTTGGCATAAGATCAGAGGCTCTAAAACTTCTAATCTAAGAATATCAATTTTTACATTAGACATTTAAGGCATTCAAGACCATATAGTTCTGAGCAATTGCACCAATGATAATATCTCGTGAAGATGTTTGTTCAAATTGAATAATTGGTGACTTGGAGAAGGTTATTGGATGGCAAAATTGTCATGGGATATTAATTCATGGCAAGTGGCATCAAAGAAGGAACTTTTTTCAAAAGCCATTATACGGTTAACCATCATCATGGATTAAATGAAAAACCATAAAGGAAGGATGAGTAAGATCTGCAATTCTGAGAGTATGTACAAGATAGAGAAGCAAGGAAAATTGAAAAAAATGGTTCTAATCCCATATTTAAAAATGTAAAAAAAAATACTATATGTTCTTATATTCACCGGCATTAGGAGTACACAATTTAAGGCTTATAATTATGAGTTTAGGATAAAAAGAAAGGTAGTTAATAATATCAAGCATTCATTAGCCTAAAACTCAGAGAATAAAAATACAAATGAATTCAAAAAAATTGTTTACAATTTAACTGCAAAAAAGTCCATCTCATATGAGCTAGAGGACAGCAAATGGTAAAGAAACAGTTAGTGGAATACAAGAGCTAACGAAAGAGAGCTAGGGGGTTAAAGAAGTCGCAAAGACACAAAATACAGCTCACACAAAATATGGCATCTTTCGGTGGCAACAAATTGGCATCTAATGGTCTTGAGGGAGCTGTTGTGGCTAGTAGTGCAGGGGCTGTCTAGTTTGTTGCAAGAGCAATAATTTGAGGCAAATTGAATGTAGTGCCTGGATTTGAGTTAATTTAAGAATTTTCACACTTTTATAGATCAAAGTCAGTGAAAATTTTAAAATAATATAGCTTTTTTAAGAGAAGCTTCTTAGAATTAGTATAATAAGGTTTAGATTATGATATATAACTTTCAATGATGTTTTTAATAATATAAATCAGTACTTTTAGAAGACCAAAAATAATACGCTCTAGTGTCTTGGATCCATCATACGAAAGGAATGGGAAATCAATGAGAAATTACTTCTGGAGTTAAACTTGCAAGATCAAAAGAGAAAATTGTCTAGAGCACTACGATATAATAACATATCATATATGACTAAAGGTTAAATTTACAAATTACAATAAAATTGGCTGAGCCATCGGTATTTGAGAATCAGGCAATTAAGATGTTGCTAAAAGCCAACTTGAATGGGGCAAACTAGGGCTGTAAACAAGCCGAGTTTGAGCGAGCTCAGGCTTGGCTTGTGTTCGGCTGTTTGTGTTTGGCTCGTTAGGCTTAACGAACGAGCCGAACACGAGCTGCTTAACGAGCCGAACACGAGCTGTACACGAACAACGAGTCAAATTGACAGCCCTATGAGAATCAGGCAATTAAGATGTTGCTAAAAGCCAAGTTGAATGGGGCAAACAATAAAGCTTTTAAGATGAATCTATGATAAAATCGGAAAGAACAAAGTAAGAAATAATTTACTAGAAAAATAGTGAGTGGTCCCTATAGAAGATGCAATAGAAAATAGATTTAAGTGGCTTCGATCTGTACAATGTGGGTAAAATATGATACTAATAAGATGAGCAGATAGAAATAGTGTGGAATGATTTCGGATGAAAAAAAATAGACCAAAAGAAACATGGCGTAGAAAAAGAATGAAAAATATTTGATATGAAAAGTTAACCTCTCCCATAACACCAATAGAAATGAACGAAAAAGAAAGATTCATGACGTAGAAAAAGCTAATGATGTTAATGATAATTTGATGTTTCAACAGAATAATATTTGATATGTTGTGTTGATTTGCAAAATACAAAATTGTACTAACTCCCACACTTGGCATATGATCATACAAACAAAAGCAATAAGCAACAAAGCTCATCTCATGTATAGGTACACCTCCAAATAAGTCATCTTAAGCATGGCTTAGATGCCTTACCAGACAAAAAAAAAACTATTAAAAAAAATAAAGAGCTACATAAATAAGGAGCGTTCAAGCCATCATGAGCTGTCATATATTTCTAGTCTAAAAGCTACGTAATGCAGTTTATTTTCTTTTAGTCTTTACTCTTTAGCCACAAGTCTATTTTTTGTCTTTTATTATTTATATTTTAATCATCATATGTCCAACAAGCCTATATAAATTTCAACATAATTTACACATTCCTTAATTCTTACTTGCAATATTAACATTCTTTTCTCAAGTAGTTGTTTTAATATATTTTAGGCAATTATTTCAAGTGCTGACTTTATAAAATAGACTCATCTTGTAATAAGAGATCACATCTTGATAAATCAAAATATATTGATATGTTAATCTCCGCAATCCTCTTCTCCAAATCTTTTTTTCTTTTCCTAGCTACTTTCTCCTCTTCCTTTTACTCTTAATCTCCCCTTGCCAATATCTTTATTTTCTCTTTATCCTCTATAATAAGTTGCACCAAAGAAGTGTGATCCTCCTCCATGAGCCCCCAAATCTTCGAGATATAAGCCACCACTATCAATACAATGCATATTATAAACTAAATAGAATTTTTTTAATTAAAATGATAGATAAATAAATTTATTTACGCTTGCTCCTTTTGCAAGCAAGCAAACACAATTGACAACATAAATAACACAACAAACTTCTGTACATGATCATCTACAAGCAAGTAGCATAGTCGATAAAACTTCAAATACCATAAATTCTACTCTAATAAAGTTCGGAATCAATAAATTTTAATCAAATTGACTCATTCATAAATGAAGCTTCACTCAAAAAAGGCAAATAATTCAAGATCTCTAAAGATGGGCTCAAATACTAAAATATTATAACTAGAGAGGGTCCTATCTAAAAAATCCTCTCTCAAATTCAATGAAAATACACATCGAGGTCTTAGTTAAATGATGAAACCAATCAAAGAAAAATCACAACTAAATGAAACTCCATCTAAACCTAGCCATCATAAATTAATGTAAAACTACATATATATGAATTAAAAAGTCCATGCAATTACTCCAGACTTGGAGATTAGCCCGATTACAATGAGATCACTATATTACAATTACAATCTAAGTGTGGGTCTTCTCCTATAGCCTACTCCATAAGATGCACTAAGGCACAAATTCTATGTTAGCCATATTTGGCTCATCCATTTAGCAAGCTTTCACCACTGATTTACGAGATCTCTATGGATGATGCAATCAATACTTGTTGATAAGGATCCTCTGATCGAGTTGAGTCAACTATCTATGTTGACTGAATAAGTCATAAAATTAGTGTTCATGACAAACTAAGAAAACAAAACTATAATATCTTGAACAGATTTGTTACTATTCCTATATCATACACTCTAAACCAATTGCAATGTATCTTTCATCCTTTAATTCTATTTGTTTGTACTACAACAAAGTATATTACGACTACTAAACTAGTCTAATAAAAAAATTTTATCGAGTGAATCATTAATAATAGGAGCTTGCATCTACAAAAAATATCAAACAAGATTGTGGAGTTCTTATTATGGCAAAACTTTTGAGTAGTTTATTATCTAGAATTCAATTTGCCATGCAAAAAATCAACCCAAAAGCTCGCTCAAATATATATGTCAACATAGCTAGGGGGAAAATTTCAAAGCCCAAAGTTCTGCCTCTCTCTCTCTCTCTCTCTCTCTCTCTCTCTCTCTCTCTCTCTATATATATATATAGCTACATATTAATTTCATTTTCTCCTATATATCACTATTTGCTTCTACTTTTAGTACACCAATGGCTACTAGAATCAAATCACCTAGTAGCTAAGCCTTGTTTTATGACTCGCAAGAATAATGATTGGAAATCAACTATTCTAAAAGAGTAAAACGAATCAGCAGATTATAGCAAATAAGTTGAAGAAAATACAAAAGAATACACAAACCAAGCATAATCAGCATGAACATTCTATAACCTGTAAAAATGCAATGACACGTGCACAAAGCCAAAGTGGCGCGAAGAATCATGGGCCAACAAGAGAAAAATTTGTCATATATGAGCGAGCTACTTAGTTGTTTGATATTATTTAGACTTCCATATAAAGGGTCTCTCGCTCACAAAATATATCAAGTCCCCAATATAAAAAAGGTTGAATTATAGAGTGTTAAACCTAGCCTACAGAGACGCCATGTGTCTAAGTTACAATTAAAAGAATTTAAAGATGACTTCCATATAAAGGGTCTCTCGCTCACAAAATATATCAGGTCCCCAATATAAAAAAGGTTGAATTATAGAGCGTTAAACCTAGCCTACAGAGACGCCATGATGTCTAAGTTACAATTAAAAGAATTTAAAGATGACTCCAAGCCAAGCCTTATTTTTTAGATGAGAGTCATTATCACGATCCCAATCTCCACTCAAAAGCTCCTTAAATCATTAAAATGTTTATTTGAGTGTAATTTAGTAGTGCTACAAAATTGCAAGAAACATCCACATGGCAGCATTAGACATGCATGCAACTACCATTTTACAGCTAACAACACCTTTAAACATGAAATAAGTATAAATTAAAAACATCAAGAAAGAAAAAGTCAATAAAAATACATAAATAAAATGTGAAATGGATACAAAAAGATCTTCACAAACAGCTCCTCTGATGAATAATACCCATATAATTTCTTTCCTCGAACAAGGCTGCAACCATGCACATGTTGCCTTTTTGATGTAGAAAGGCTCTTATGCTTAAAATTTTACATTGTGAGACAAGATGTTCGAGAATGCCAAATAAAAGAGTTAGCCCAAATAATAATGAGACAGCATATGCCATACCCTCAAGGCTTTCTCAATAGCTCCGGATAGAGTATGAATAAATGCTTGGCCTGCATACAAGAGGTATCAAAATAAACATTGATTATGTACAAATACACCATGCATTAAAAGGTTGAAGCTCAAAATAGATAACACATGCCTACTGAGCTGTAACAGCAATAAGAAAGCAGTTATAATACTACATTTCTCTGCAATATAAAAGGTTAAAGCACAAACTAATAAAGCAATGGTTGAAAAGTTTTGTCCAGAAGAAATCATAGAAAGATAAATTAGGTCATCAATAGTAATGCCTTAATAACTTGTTAATGTTAATGTTCATGAACATCTAGCAACAACCGAAATGCAAACAAAAAAAAAAAAACAAATACAAAATAGGAGTCAACCTTAAATTATGAGAGTATGCTAAATTCAAAGCATCAAAAGCTGTTGAAACTCAAAAAAGAAACTCTTACAATTCATGAAGAACATAGCAGTAATAATATACTAGGATCTTCAGAACTGGATTAGCCTTTTTAGAGCAAAATTAAAAAAAAATATCAAATAGTATTGTCACAATGAACAAAAATTCTACTATCAGAACTTTGCCACAAAGCACGCAATATTAGACAATCAAAAAAACAAAAAACTTAACTGCTTAAACAGAAAATAGGGCGCCCTAAAAACTAAATACCATCACTCGGTTAGCTTTTCCCTTAATGCAACACTAGCGTGCATGCCACACTGTGGTTCGCTAATCATAGTTTTAAAAAGAAGAATGAAGACAATCAGGACCAACCACAAGGAGAAGTGAAACATCTTGTAAATGCACCTTGACACAAGCATAATGACTAAAGTTTAAGGATCTTTGGACAAGTAGTTGGGAGGGCATAGTTCATCTCCAAAAATACAATGGCAAGCCATTCCTGACACGGACTTGAAAAAATGTTCCAGTTTTGACAAGACTGCCCTAGTGCCAAGCCTTAGTAAAGCGCATGCCAGCATCTACTGCACGGTGTGGGTTATCTATTTGGCCTCAAAATCATCATTAGTGGTGCTTTGATGGCCATCAAACAAGGAATAAACGGCAAGGAAGAATGATTAATTGTGGCATGTAATCGAAATGCTACAACAATCAGTGTGCAAGGAGGGGTCCGCAACTAAATAAGGTAGAGGAAAAAGGAAGACATCAAGAAGAAGAATAGGAGAAATGAAAAACAAGAAACAAAGACAGGTACCCTTCAAAACTTCGTCTGGCCGAGGCCAGTAAAACAGTTATGCAATTAATTCTTATAGAAAGAATGGTTCATCATGGAAGAGAGACCTAGCCCGGTCAGGATCATGAACTAATACTAATAACTTGGTAATATCTAACTCATTAAAATAAGTTTATAACACAGTACAGCTAAGAAAACTACTAATAATTATAGCATTATAATACATAATAAAAAGAATTGCTTTTTTGACCACCTTCCCAGGTTTCATTGCTACTAAGGTCTTTAATGGTGTGAATTTCCTTCTCTAGCTATTGCTACAGTCCCACAAATCCCTATTACCCACTGCTCTACTTCCTGCTTCACTGCTCTGATGCCTGCCACCTTTGCTTCCTATAACTGCATCCTGCCTCTATAGCTGCCACCTTCAAGAA